TTGTAGGAATGTTACATATTTTTTATCATTTAATTCAATTTAGATATATAAGAGAAATTTTAATTCAAAAAGATTGAGACTACTTAATATATATATATTTAAATTTCATTTCAAAATTCGAATTATTTCAAAATGTCAATTCCATTAATGAAGATCATTATTAATAGGGAATCTCAAACGTAAAGTTTCGCTTACAGTTTGAGAGTTGCTTTTTTAAATGTATCGTAGAAATCTTACAAATGTTTTTCATTTAATTCAATTTAGATAGTTAAAGGAAATACTTATTGAAAAGATTGAGAATAGATGCTTTTACTTACTTTATTGAAATAAACTGAAAATTTTTATTTTCTAAATAAAACATCTTGCTGTTTTAAAAATATTGCATATAAAATCAATAAATTCTAGAATATTTTTTTATCATTATTCATATTTTATTTCTGAACACATTTATACTAATCATTCATTCAACCGAAATAAATAATTGAAAAACAGTTCAAAATAATGCAATGAATGCAAGGAATATAAATTTTACTAACAAAAAATAAATAAATAAAATAAAAATTTGATAAAAACAGCTTTGACAATTTTTATTCGAAAACTTACTAACATGCGAAGATAAATGAAACAAAATTGAAAAAAAGTAAAAATCCTTTTAAGTGCCGTTTTCAAAACTAGTAAAGCTCTGAGATTTCTAGATAAAGTTTTTTTAGCAAAAGGAGCTTTATTCCGAAATTCTAAAGCATAATGAAAACTAATTAATTAATTTATCAAGTTCAAGTGCGAGTAATTAAAATGCGTCCCAGGAATAGAACAGCACAACACCTACAGAGCGAACAAAGAACAAAACTGCTCAAATAATATAAAAAAGAAATAGCTTTTAAAAAAAAAAAACTATTTTCGAAAGGATGTATTACACTTATCACATGTATTAATATTAGCGGCATAATTTGTCTTGAATAATAAAACCAAAACACTTTTACGATTTCTAGAGTGCTAAGACGGAATTTTAATTAATGAGATTTTTTAAAACTTTTTTCGATTTTTTTTGAACAGTCAACTTCAAACGTGAAGTAATTAGTTTCAAACTATAGCAAAGTTTGTCGTAACCTTAACTGTATAAAAAAACCATTTCCTGTTTTCTAAATTTATTTAAATTGCAATAATAATATTTACCCTAAAGTAGTTTTTCTTTCAAAAAGTGTTCCAGTTGCTTTTAAAGAATGAATATTTAACAACATGGGTTCCAGTTAGCGTGGAAACTGCGTTCAATTAAAAATACGTATGCGCATTGGAAACTGTTTCTGAAATAAGGGTTTTATCGTAACGGTATTGCTAAAGTTCTCCAAAATTCAGTTTGATTTGAGTTTTATGCACAGTTGCCATGGGTCTCGTAAGCCTGTTTGAATTTTATTAAAGGTTAAGTAGGAGTAAGCTTAAATATATTCCAATAAATTTTGATGAACTACATAAAAATGTTACAATGCATTAGAAAATGGAATAACAATTTGATTTAACTATACAAGTTATGCTTCTATGAATTTAAACTTTTCATCATTTTACCTAACTTGACGAATGGAGGGTTTTGAATAAATTTAAATGATCCTTTTTAAAAATATTTTTGTGTGTTACAATAAATGGAATAATTTTTTTTTCTGGATATTTAATTATTGACAGTTAAAGCAATGGAGTACAAAATTTAACTATTTTTCATTCACAAGATTTATTTAATATTCGAATAAATTTGACACATTGTTAAAAACAAGTAAATATTTTTATGATTCGCGAAATGTTAATGATATCCATAGATATCCATTGATTAATAAGTGCAGATATTTATTAATTGTTACATTTTCATAGCTCCGTTATCCATAGTTACATATTAACAGTTTTAAAGATCCATAAATTCATATTAAGGAGTGCAGATAGCCATAGTTGCAGATTAATAATTCCAAATATCCATTCATAATTATAGGTTAATATTTGCAGATGTACATGTTTGCGATTAATACTTGCATATATACATTCATACTTAGAGATTAATAGTTTCAGATATCCATTTCAGATAACTATTTTCGTTAATGAATATCATAATTAATAGGAATCTTAAAAGCAAAGCTTCTGTTTACAATTTGATAGTTTTTTTTTTTAATTTATCATAGGACCTTAAATATTTTTTTTCTTCATTTAATTCAATTTAGACATTTAAAAGAAGTAATAATTATAAAGACTGAGACTACACATATATATATATATATATATATATATGTAGGAATCTTACATATTTTTTATCTTTTAATTTAAGTTAGACATTTAAAAGAAATATTAATTGAAAAGATTGAAACTACGATACTTTTACTTACTTTAACGAAAAGATAAATTAATTTTTTTTCGAAATAAAAAAATAAAAGTTGTTTTAAAAATACTCCATCTGAAATCAATAAACACCTGAATATTTTTTTTTATCTTTATTAATACATTATTTCTACTACATATATATATTTATCATTTATTCAGCATAAATTAATAATTGAAAAGAGTTCGGAATAGGAGGATGCAAGGAATACAAATCTTAAGAACAAAATAAATGAATAAATGAAAAGTTGATAAAACCAGCCGTGACAATTTTTATTCGAAAACATACTAACGTGCAAAGATAAACAGAAAAAATTATTATTGTGTAAACAAAACAAAACATTAATTCGAAATATTTCAAAATGTTAATTTCTTTAATGAATATCATAATCAATAGGACTCTTAAAAATAAAGCTTCTCTTGCAATTTGAGAATTTTTTTTTTAAATTTTCGTAGTATTCTTAAATTTTTTTGTCATTTAATTTTATTTAGATATTTAAAAGAAATATTAAATGAAGAGGTTGAGACTACATTTATGTATAGATAGATATTTCATTTCAATATTCGAAATACTTCAAAATACTATTTGCAATAATGTATATCATAAATAATAGGAATCTTAAAAGTATAGCTTCGTTTATAGTTTGAGAGTTTTTTATTGTAGAATTTTGCATTTGCATTTGCATTTTTCATTTAATTCAATATATATATTTAAAAGAAATATTACTTTACAAAATTGAGACTACTACACTTTTACTTACTTTATTGAAAAAACTTAAGTTTTTTTATTTTCTAAAGAAATAAAAGTTTATAAAAATATTCCATCTGTAATCAATAAATACTTGAATATTTTACTTATTTTTATTAATACTTTTATTTCTAGTATATATTTATGTTAATCATTTATTCAACCTAAATAAATAATTGAAAACAATCCCAAATAGGAGCAAGGAATACAAATTTTGAGAACAAAATATAAATAAATAAAATAAAAAGTTGGTAAAAAACAGCTTTGACATTTTTATTCGAAAACACACATAACGTGCGAAGAAAAACAAAAACATTATATATTTATATTTCATTTCAAAAAATTTTGTTTTGCGAAATATTTCATTTCAAAATTTTGTATTTCACAGTTTATTTTCATTAATGAATATCATAATTAATAGGAATTTTAAAAGTAAAGTTTCGTTTACAGTTTGAAAGTTCTTTTAAATTTATTGTATTAATCTTACATATGTTTTTCATTTAATTCAATTTAGTTATTTAAAAGAAACACTAATGAAAAAGATCAGACTACAGCAATGTTACTACCTTTACTGAAATAAACTAACATTTTATTTTTTTCGAAAATCTTGTTCTAAAAATATTGCATCTGAAATTAATAAATACTTGAATATTTTTTTAAATCTGTATTAATACTTTTTATTTCTAGTACATATTTATATTTATCAATTATGTAACCTAAATTAATTGAAAAAAGTTCTAAATAAAAGCATGGAATGAAAATTTCGGGAAACAAAAATAAATAAATAAAAGTTAATAAAAAACACCTTTGACAATTTTCATTCTAAAACGTACTAACCTGCAAATATAAACAAAACAAAATTGATAAAAGAAAACCTTTTAAGTGCCATTTTCAAAAACTAGCAAAACTCCGAGATAAAATTTTTTTAGCAAAAGGAACTTTATTCCAAAATTCTAGCATAATGAAAACTAACTAATTAATTTATTCAGTTCAAGTGCAACTAAGTAAAAATGCGTCCAGGAATAGAACATCACAACTCCTACAGAGCTAACAAAGATGAAAACTGTTTTAAAAACTAGCTGCCTTTTAAAAGAAGAACTTAAATAATATAAAAAGAAAATAGCTTTATAAAAAAACTGTGATGCATTACACTTATCACATGTATTAATATTAGCGGTATAATTTGTCTTAGGTAATAAAAGCAAAACACTTTTTACGACTTCTAGAGTGCTAAGACCGCATTTTAATTAATGAGATTTTTTTAAACATTTTTTCAATTTTTGAACAGGTAAACTTCAAACGTGAGGTAATTAGTTTCAAACTATAGCAAAAGTTTGTCGTAGCCGTGACTGTATAAAAACCATCTCGTTTTCTAAATTTATTTAAATTGCAATAATAATATTTACCCTAAAGTAGTTTTTTTTTTTTTCTAAAGTGCTTCTGTTGCGTTTTAAGAATGAATATTTAACAACATGGGTTCCAGTTAGCGTGGAAACTGCGTTCAATTAAAAATACGTATGCGCATTGGAAACTCTTTTGAAATAAGGTTTTACCGTAACGGTATTGCTAAAGTTTTCCAATAAGGGGCAGAAAATTCAGTTTGATTTGAGTTTTAAGCACAGCTGTAATGAGTTTCGAGAGCCTGTTTGTATTTTATGAAATGTTAAGGAAGAATAAGTTAAAATATATTGCACGTATTTTTGATAAAATACGTAAAATTTTACAATGCATTAAGAAGAATAACAATTTGAATTTTGTACAAGTTATGACTTTAAAAGTTTTATCTTTTTACCTAACTTAAATATAATGGCATATCTGAAGACGAATAGATGATTCTAAATAAGTTTAAAATGTTCTTTTTTTTTTTTTTAAATGTGTATAAGTTATAATAAATAGCCCAACGGCTATACCATGCAGAATATACCGATTCTCGTTCGATCACCGAAGTCAAGCTTCATTGGGCGCTATAAGGTTGAGTGGTGACCACCTGGGAACACCGCGGTTGGCATACACAAATTTGGGACTTGAATGGCCGAGAGTCCAGCGCTCTGGCGCTCGGTGCCACAGGTTTGGGGTTGGAATCCCGACAGTGCCATGCATGCTTGTAGTGGTTCGCTTGTTGTTGTGGAATCCACTTTAAGCCGTAGGTCCCGGTCTCCTATGACTGTAAGAGCGTCACGGAGCCAAAGTCAGACTTCTACCTACGGGTGCTCCATCACAACAGAAGCTGCTTCCCTTCCCCTTCAATCATGAGCACGTATGGGCTCGTGGGCTTGGCCAGCCAAGTGGGATAAGAAACAACAACAAAACATAATAAATTGAAAGATTTTTTTTTTGCGATGGGAGTTTAATAATTGACAGTTGATAGAAAGGAGTATAAAGTTTAATTATTTATCATTCACAAGATGTATATAATGTTTACATTAATTAAAAGATTAAAAAAAAACGAGTAAATGGGTTTATTTTATAACTATTGAAAAGTTGAGGATATCCTTAGTAGTAGATAAATAATAATTACAGACATCCATCCATATTTGTATATTTATAAACTGAAAGTTTTTCTGAAATAAAACATCTTGTGGTTTTAAAAATATTCCATCTGAAATCAATAAATTCTTGAATATTTACTTAATCCCTATTATTACTTTATTTCGAGAACATATTTAAATTAATCATTTATTCAACTTAAAGAAATAATTGAAAACAGTTCATAATAGGAGCAAGGGAATACAACTTTTGCGAAAAAATAAATAAATAAATAAAATATTGATAAAAACAGCTTTGAAAATTTTTTTTTTTTTTGAAAACATTCTAACGTGCGAAGATAAACAAACAAAAAAAAAAATCTTTTAAGTGTCATTTTTAAAAACTAGTAAAACTCAGAGATTTCAGGATAAAATTTTTTTAGCAAAAGGAGCTTTATTCCGAAATTCTAAAGCATAATGAAAAACTAATTAATTAATTTATCAAGTTCAAGTGCGACTAATTAAAATGCGTCCAGGAATAGAACAGCACAACTCCTACAGAGCGAACAAAGAAGAAAAACTTTTCTAAAACTTGCTGCTTTTAAAAGATGAACTCAAATAATATAAAAAAGAAAAAAAAAAAAAAAAAAAAAAACTATTTTCTCAGTGATGTATTACACTTATCACATGTAATATTATTAGCGGCATAATTTGTCTTGAAGAATAAAAGCAAAACACTTTTACGACTCCTAGAGTGCTAAGACCGAATTTTAATTAATGAGATTTTTTAAAACTTTTTTTTGATTTTTTGAACAGTAAACTTCAAACATGAGGTAATTAGTTTCAAAGTATAGCAAAAGTTTGTCGTAGCCTTAACTGTATAAAAAAACATTTCGTTTTCTAAATTTATTTAAATTGCAATAATAATATTTACCCTAAAGTAGTTTTTTTTTTTTAGTGTTCCAGTTGCGTTTTAAGAATGAATATTTAACAACATTGGTTTCAGTTAGCGACGAAACTGCGTTGTTTCTCGTCCAATTAAAAATACTTATGCGCATTGAAACTCTTTTTAAGTAAGGGTTTTACCCTAACGGTATTGCTAAAGTTTTCCAAAATTCAGTTTGATTTGAGTTTTATGCACTGTTTCCATGGATCTCGTGAGGCTGTTTGTATATTATTAAAGGTTAAGTAGGAATAGGTTAAAATATATTGCAAGTATTTTTGACGAACTACATAAAATTTTACAATGACTTAAAAAAGTAATAACAATTTGAATTTCATATAAGGTATGCTTCTATGACTTTAAAATTTCGTCATTTTACCTTACTTAAATATAATGGCATACCATGCGACGAGCATGTTATTCTAAATAAATGAATAATGTTCCTTTTAAATATATTTATGAGCTAACATAAATAGAATGAATTATTTTCGTGATGGAAATTTAAAAAATGACACTTAATAGAAAAGAAAAAAAAATTAAATATTTATCATTCACATGATTTATTTAATATTTAAATAATTTTCAAACGATATTAAAAACATGTAAATGATTTAATTCTATAACTAAAGAAAAACTGAGGATATACATAGTTACAGACTAATAATTTCAGATATCTTTTCCTAGTTACACTATAATTTAGTTTTTCCTTGTATGTTAATAATTTTAAATTTCCATAGTTTCAAATTAATGTTGTAAATATCCATTGCTGTAGATAAACAATTGCAAATATTCATTCTTAGTTATATGTTGATTATTTTAAATATCCGTAGTTGCTGATCAATAATTGAATATATTCATTCTTAGTTACAGATTGAGATTCCATAGTTGCCGTTTAATAAATGCAGATATCTATTCATAGTTATAGGTTACTATTTTCAGATGTCGATATTAAAGCGTTAATATACACTAAAGAGCCAAAACATTATGGCCACCCCTACATTTTGCAATGAACACGCCTGGATGACGTGGAAGGCACGTGATTAGGTGGAAGTGGTATTTAACTACTGATGGAGAGTCTGAAGAATCATTCTTTCACTTACTTCTGTGTGTGATGGAAAAGGCTGCGGATCTAAGAGACTTTGATAGAGGGCAAATTGTAATGGCTTGAAGGCTCGGAACAAGTATTTCCGAAATTGCCCGACTCGTGGGTTGTTCGCGATCTGCAGTTGTTAGTACTTATGCAAAGTGGATGAATGACGGTGAAACGAGCAGTAGACGACATGGACGTCCACACGCTATCAAAGAAAAAGGGCGTCAGAGACTGTCTCGCATGGTGAAGCAAAACCGGAGCCAGACAGTGGCTCAGCTGACAGCCCAATACAATGCAGGGCCAAGTAGAATAGTATCGGAGCACACTGTTCAGAGGACACTGTTGGATATGGGGCTACGCAGCAAACGTCCCACTCGTGAGCTTTTGCTGACCTAGCGTCATCGCCAACTGCGCCTGCGCTGGGCCCGGGAACATCGTGACTGGTTGCCTGGTCAGATGAATCACGGTTTGTCATTCATCACGCTGATGGCCGTATCAGGATACGCCTTCTTACAGGAGAACAGTTGCTCCCTCAATGTACAGTAGGTCATACACAGGCCGATGGTGGCGGTATTATGCTTTGGGGGACCTTCTCTTGGGCGTCTCTGAGACCCGTGGTTGTGGTAGAGCAGACCATGAATTCTACAGGGTATCTGAACATCATTGCGGGCCAGTTGCACCCTTACACGACCTCTGTTTTTCCAGCTGGAAATGGAATGTTCCAACAGGACAACGCCCCTTGTCACAAGGCTAAAATTGTGTTGGAGTGGTTACAGGAACATGATGCTGAATTCCAGTTAATGTCCTGACCGCCTAACTCACCGGAACTCAATCCGATAGAACACATTTGGGATGTCCTGGGACGGCAGCTCAGAATTCAAAGACCACCAATTCGCAATATCTCGGATTTGCGTGACCGTTGCTTAAACATCTGGTACAATCTGTCTCCGGCCATCTACTAAGGACTTGTGGCATCCATGCCAAGGCGGGTTGAAGCTGTGTTGCTCTCGCCAAAGGTGGGCCAACTCGTTATTGACAGGTGTTCATAATGTTTTGGCCCTTGAGTGTATATGCAGATATTCATTCATAGTTACAGATTATTAATTTCAGATGTATCTAGTAGAAGATTAATATTTTCAGATATTCATAATTGACGATTAGTAATAGCAGATATCGATTCGTAGTTACGCTTTAATTGTTCCAGTTACCATTAATAAAAGATCTTTTTCAATATATTTTAGAATTATCCTAAATTGAATCATTTTTTTTTTTTTTTTTTTTTTTTTTGCAATGTGAGTTTTAAAATTGGTAGTTAATGGTATGTAGAATAAATTTAACTATTTATTATTCGTAAGATTTATTTAATATTAGAATAAATTTCAAAAAAAAAAAAAATAATAGCAACAAGTAAATGGTTATTTTTATAACAAACAAAAAGTTGAGGATATCTATAGTTGCAGATTAATAATAATTACAAATATCTACCCATAGTTACATGTTAATAAATTCAAAGTATTTTTATTCCAAATACGTTTTTAAAATGTTATATCTGAAATCAATAAATGCTTAAATATTTTTAATCCTTATTAATACATTATTTCTAGTACATATTTATATTAATCATTTATTCAACATAAATAAATAATTGAAAACAGCTCAAAATAGGAGCATAGAATACAATTTCACGATCAAAAATAAATAAATAAAAATTAATAAAAACAGCGTTGACAATTTTTATTCGAAAACATACTAAAGTGCGAAGATAAACAAAACAAAATTTAAAAAAAAAAGTAAAAATCCTTTAAAGTGACATTTTCAAAAAATTGTAAAGCTCCGAGATTTCAAGATAAAGGTTTTTAGCAAAAGGAGCTTTATTCCGAAATTCTATACCATAATGAAAACTAATTAATTAATTTATCAAGTTCAAGTGCAACTAATTAAAAATGCGTCCAGGAATAGAACAGCACAACTCCTACAGAGCTAACAAAGAAGAAAACTGTTTTAAAACTTGCTGCTTTTTTTAAAAGAAGAACTCAAATAATATAAAAAGAAATAGCCTTTTAAAAAAAACTGCGATGCATTACACTTATCACATGTATTAATATTAGCGGCATAATTTGTCTTAGATAATAAAAGCAAAATACTTTTTACGAGTTTTAGAGTGCTAAAACCGAATTTTAATTAATGAGATTTTTTTCAATTTTTGAACAGTAAACTTCAAACGTGAGGTAATTAGTTTCCAAACTGTAGGAAATGTTTGTCGTAACTTTAACTGCATAAAAACCATTTCGTTTTCTAAATTTGTTTTAAATTGCAATAATAATATTTACCCTAATGTAGTTTTTTTTTTTCAAAAACTGTTCCAGTTGCTTTTAAAGAATGAATATTTAACAACATTGGTTTCAGTTAGCGACGAAACTGCGTTGTTTCTCTTTCAATTAAAAATACGTATGCGCATTGGAAACTCTTTTGAAGTAAGGGTTTACCGTAACGGTATTGCTAA